ATTCACCTGCAACGTTTGTGGTATAATGAAAGTTTTCTAATTAATTCAATCAGATAAAGAGATTTACACAGTAACTAGAATCAATTATATCAGTTATTTATTTATATATTTTTTGGCCTTTCGTGTTAATTAAAAAGTGAACGTGGAGAGGGAATGGAAACGGAGGGGGAAACGGAGGGGGGAGACGACATGCAGTAAATGGTCCAGCCACCGGAGGGGTCAAATCTGTGTTTTCATTTAGGTCACTGCAATATTCAATCCATACGCTACATATGAAAGTTCAGATCAGTCAGAGTGATGAGCAATCTGTATTTCTGTCCGCACACGTCAATAAACGCTGGTTGTTTACCGAAGAGATCAGATTTAGAACCTGGTAGATGCTCTGTCGTTGTGCAGTGGGTGGAATGAAGAAAGATGTCAAGTCATAAACTCACAACTGAAAATAACTTCCTAACATTGTTTTCAGCGTCACCTCTTCCTCACTAACTGTTTCTCAAATACGCATGATAAAAAAAAAACCCGTGACAGAGATGGATTTTGTAGATTTTGGCCAATCAGCGCAGCCGACTCACAAGCAAACCTCTCAGTCGATCTGCAAACACGGCACGGATCCACGTTATTAGTGTGGACGGAGTATAAATGTCATAAAATGTCACTATGTCTGTGTTTCGATTGAAAAGTAGATCATAGACGTCACGCCTACTGGTGGTGTTTCTGCACATGTATTTCATGGTGAAGTATGAATCAGAACAAACACTGTTATAATTAGCGTGAATTATAGGACGTGCATCTGATTTAACAACCACAACCTCAGTGAACAGAAACCAATTCTGTTTCACCCAAAGTCATCCTCGACACAAAACCAAGGAAAAATACAAAAACAACCTCAGACAACAGAAAAAAAAAAACCTTTTTCAAAACGAAATGATCTTTTAGAAAAGCAGAGACAACATGACGCTGCCGAAAAAGGTGAAATATCGACTTGGATTCCAGCAGAAAACTTTTATCTGACTCACTAATGCCACAAATCATTAACATTTATCTAGTGGCCAATGAAGTCTCTCTCAAACTTCGGTGGACGCAGACTTTGATAGATTTCTGTCTGTCCTCTCCTCTCTCAGTGAGACCTTTGGTATCTCTGCTCCATTTCATATTTGTGCGATCGCTGTTTGAGCACTGAAAAAAATGTCCCTTTCCCGTCTCTTGTCTTCCCCTCAGGTTGATTTGACCATCCTGGTGCTGGACGTGAACGACAACGCTCCAGTCTTCCAAAGAAGGGACTACACCGTCACTGTCCCCGAGGACGTCGCTGTGGGAACCGAGGTGCTACGAGTGTTAGCGACCAGCGTCGACATCGGACCTAACGCTGAGATCACGTACAAAATCCGATCGGGCAACGAGTTAGGAAAGTTCAACATAGACAGAAACCTGGGTGAGCACATCCTCGTAGATTCATACATAGTACATACTACCTTACATACTGCACATCTTATAGCGAAGTGCATCTCTATCCTGAGCGGTAAAGTTAATAAAATGAATATCTGTTGGTTATAAACTGAAACTTTGTGTTCAGGCTCCATCTCCGTGGCCGATGATCTGGACTTTGAGGTGTGTAAGGACTACTACCTCACTGTTGAGGCCTGGGACAGCGGGAACCCCCCTCTCAGCACCGCCACCATGGTAATCATTGAACTCATGGACGTCAACGACAACGCTCCAGCCTTCAGTCAGGACATCTACAACGTGCTGGTCAGCGAGGACGCGTCTGTCGGCCAGACAATCACAAGGGTAACGTTTGCTCCCTGATTTTGCTTCATCTCTGCTTTTTATGTTGTTGAACTTTTAACACTTGTTTCGTGCTCTGCAGGTCTTGGCAGAAGATTTGGACAGTCAGGTAAATGGGCGAATCACTTACTCGATCCTGAAAGGTGACCGCAGCAACCACTTCTGGATCGACCCCGTAGCGGGACTGCTCAAAGTCAACAAGCGGCTCGACAGAGAACTAGTAAGGATGCAGATTTGAGAATCTCAGAAATAATCAGTTGTACCTCAGTGTTTGGTACATCACAGCTGCTGGGGCACACTCCTTCCTTTCTGCTCCTCTATAGGTATCCAGGTACTCATTGTCAGTGCAGGCGTTCGACAGCGGCTCCCCTGCCATGTCCTCCACCGTCTTCATCAACATCGACATCTCCGACGTTAACGACAACCCCCCCCTCTTCACCCCTGCCAACTCCACGGCCGTCATACAGGTAAACAGCCTGTGTGTGTCTATCCTTGGACATGTGTGTTTTTGTACTTGCGTCATCTCAACTTCTCTCGTTGTTCTTGCAGCTAAATCAAGCCTCTGGCTCCACCCTGCTGAAGCTGTCCGTCAGCGATAAAGACTCACCCAGAAACGGCCCCCCCTTTGAGTTCCGCATCGCGTCAGGAAACGAGGGAAAGTTTTTTTCTCTGGACCAGACGGGAACTCTGAAGACCAACCGCGTGATTGGCTCCGAGGCCCCCAGAGAGTTTGTTCTCGTAATCCAGGTGAGGGACTGACGGTCAGGTGACGTCTCACTGTGTTAAAGCAACCCTTTGTAACTTTTACTGAGCAACAGCGCCCTCTGCAGCCACACGTGGTGATTCATTCTGCTGGGCTCCGAGTCTAAGCGATTAAGTGGTATTTAGAGAAAATAAAAAATCTGGTGCCTGGTAAACTGAACTGTGGATATTACCCACGATCCCTTGCTTCCTGACCCATCAATGAAACAAATCCACCAGTTTTAAAAGTTTACTGGTTGAACATTGGAGATAAACGCTGAGTCTCTTCAGCTTGTTTGATTTGGAGCAGATGTTAATGGTGAGAACTCAGAGTGAGAGTTAGTGTTCCATCAAGCTACAGCCTCATTTATGTGAATACACTTCTCTTATGGGGAAGCTTTTAACAACATGTACTTGTAAGTAATTTTCTTTTATGTTCTCACTAAACAGCTTCACAATCGTTGTCTCTACATGTTTGTTTACACTGAGTGAGACAGTAAACTTTTATCAAACAACCTTCCTTAGCGTTCTGTATCCATTTTCCTCCGTCTTCCCCCCGAAAGCAACTCAGCAACTTAAAGTTAAAACTTTTAAATCCGTCCTTAAATGTTTCTGAGTGACTGAATATCTCAGCTTTGTTTTCATCTCTTAGGCAAGTGACTCTGGGAGGCCAAGTCTTACCTCGTCCTCCTGGGTGTTCCTGAGGGTCATTGGAAACAGCCAATACAAACCTGCGGTCTCCCCGCTGGAAATCTTTATTGTCATGGTGACGGATACATTCCCGGGCGGCCCGATTGGTCGGATATATGCAACCGACCGTGATCCCAATGACGCTCTGTCGTTTACCCAGAAGCCTCAGCCCAAGAGCATGTTTCTGATCAGCAGGCAGGAAGGCAGCATCGTGGCTCTGCCGGGCCTGGAACCTGGCAGGTACACGCACACGCACACACGCACACGCACACATGCACGATATGAAAAAGAAAAACACCCTGTCTCAAAATAACAACCTGTTTCCTTGTAGATACCAGATGAACGCCACAGTGAGTGATGGACGCTTCGCTGTGATTGCCGATGTGTCAGTCCAGGTTGAGCAGGTGACAGATGTGCTGCTGCGTAGCGCCCTGACCTTACGCTTCAGCTCCCTGTCCCCGGAGGACCTGATTGGTCGTTACCTGAGCCAGATCAAGCTCATGTTACGTGGACTATCTGGCTGGAAGTGGTCGCCAGGACAGCAGGACCCCCTCCATGTACTCGGCGTGCAGCCGGTGATGGGGACGCCTGACGTGGACTTGCTCCTGGCTATGGAGCGGCCCGAGACATCAGGGATCGGACGGATGGGTGGGTTCTACTCCCAGCAAGAGTTGTCTGCAAAGCTGGAGGACGCAGCTGTGCGGGGACAGATCGGAGGCGTCCTAGCTGGGGCGGTGGCGGTGAGCAGCGCCTGCTCTGGGGAGCTGGAGTGTGGGGACAGGGTGTGTGAGCAGATGCTGGTGATGGAGAGCGGGTCGCCGGTGACCTACAGCACAGAGAGGGTCAGTCTGGTGTCACCAAGTTTCAGCCGCACAGACACCTGCACCTGCCCTGGTGAGCACTGCTGATCTCAGCTCACACTGTCAGTGTCCTTAACACCGGTCACAGTTACACATCAACAAATACAGACAATCTTGAAATGTCTAAATAAAGATATATTTCACTACTATGATGTTTTTTCTTGCAGATGTTACCAGGAGACAGATGTGCACAATGACGCTATAGATTAAAGAATATATATTTTAGACTATGGAAGTTTAATTTGAAGACAGATGATATCCTGACGTGTTGAAGGTGTTATTTTCTCATATATCTGTGTCTGAGCAGAAGGAACATGCCCCACCCCCGTGGAGCTGTGTGAAGGTCAGTCCTGTCCGGCAGACATGCAGTGTGTCCGCTCTGGTCCTACAGCGCCATCTGTCTGCCAGTGTCAGCCCGAGAGACTGGACGAGTGTGCAGGTACGATTCCATCGCCATGTCGTCAAGTTTGGGCCTCTGCACATCCACATAGCGTCTTTACTCCCCAGTTTGAATCCTGTACTTTTTTGTTTTGTGGACACGCAGGACAAACCTCCCTGAGCTTCTCTGGAAACAGTTACATCAAGTACAGAGTGACAGAGAGCGTCCAGAGTGGAGAGATGAGGCTCAGCCTGAGGATCAGGACGCTTCAGAGGAGAGGAGTCATTATGTTCACCCGGGTTAACCCCTGCACCATGCTCAAGGTCAACACACTGTGTTGTTTCCAAACGCCTGATCTGCTGAGCAAAAACTGCACTGAAGGGTGGTTATGTCATTTCTAAACATAGAACTTTTGTCCCTTTTCTTTCCCCAGATTGAAGGGGGTCGACTCTGGTTCCAGCTGGACTGTGACAACACCCTTGGCATTATGGGTATCTCTGGCAGACCAATAAACGACGGCCTCTGGCACGCTGTTGCCTTGGAACTGACTAGGAACTACACCCTCCTGTCGCTGGATGACAGCTATGTGGAGCGCCGCCGAGCAGCCCGAGCACCTGTTCGGCTTTGGCCTCTGGCCCCGGACTCGTCCTTTTTCTTCGGGGCCCAAGTGAGGCCACCGACTGGGCAAGGTGAGGGGCCGAGTCCGGGGCCAGGGAGAGTCCAGGGAGGAGGGCCAGCACTTGGAGCGAGGGGCACGCCGAGAGCCCAGGACGGCTTCCAGGGCTGCCTGGGCTCTCTAATGCTGAACGGTAACGAGCTGCCGCTGCAGAATAAGAGGAGCCGCTATGCCGAGATCGCCGGTCTGAGTGAGGTCAAGCTGGGCTGCGTGCTTTACCCAGATCCATGCGTCAGTCAGCCCTGCCTCAACGGAGCCATCTGCAGCAGCCTGCCCTCTGGAGGTCTGTGTAGCCATCAGTGTGAATGTGTGTGGGTGGTAACAGACTGTTTACATGGGAATATTATTGAATTTAACAGTTTTTCATAGCTTGAGTGTTAATGTCTGCGTTCTTATTTTAGAATTTGATATAAACGATACTTCACAGATAAGACTGAAAGATATCTCCAAAGAAGAAATATTGAAATCACGTATTAATATGTATGATCACGCACGTTATCGTCACACCTGACACACTCTGAGTGTCTCTCTCTCTCTCCGACAGGCTTCATGTGCAGTTGCAGCGCAGGCTTCACTGGGGGGCGCTGTGAAATTGAGTTGACATCCTGCATGCCAAATCCCTGCCAGAACGGTGGAGACTGCAGGCCTGTTGGCGGTGCATTCCTCTGTGGTTGTCCTCGAGGACTCGGGGGACTTATGTAAGATGAAACAGCTGCAATCACACACTCACACACTTTTAGAGCCTTAATTACCGTGTGTAAATACAGAGCTAACGGATGCTGCAGCTATTTAGACGCATTAACATCTGCACCTCCCTTCTCACACACACTTGAGCATGAAAGAACATGCGTAGGAAACACACACAAATTATTATCCCACATCAGCACCCAGCACCCACTGAGTTACTTTAGTTGTTATTGTGTGAGATGATTTAGTGTTTCTAATTTAATTCTGTATCATTTCGATAGAAAAGCCTATAATCATTCTCTTGCTGCTGCTTTAATTAAAGCTCAGTAATTGCATTTTAAACAAACTCTGCGCTCCCGCGGTTGTTCAGCGGAGTCACCACTAGAGAGCAGTTTTCCCTCAAAGGAGAAAAATGCTTCTTTCAGGCTTTTGAAATAAAAAAATAATAAAAAATGCTTTTAATGAATTTGAATTAAACGTAGCTGATAAACTACTCAGATAAAAACGAATGATTTTTTTTTTTTCCAGACAGCAGTTTGTTTAGATCTTTATCAGTTAAGGTTAATGCTCAACAGACTGAAGTCATTGTTAAAGTAGAGATAGTCTGCAACAAGCAGCTGTGGTGCGTAACCGGCCGTGAAATTGTTTATCCTGCTGATTTACAAATGATCAGATCAAACTGAAATAAAGATATGACGTCTTCTCTTTAAAAACTGAATCATAGTCTCCGTTCAAATGTGACACAACTTTCTGAATCCAAGCAGTTTGTTAATTGAGATACGCATCATTTCTCTTCTAAATTATAAATGAGAGAACATCACTGGCCAATGCGTCCAGGCCTGTTTTCGGGAGTTTGTACACTTTTCATTAATTCAAGTGAAACTTCAGATGGTTGTACAATCAAGGCCGTGCTATCAGAAATGCTTTTTCTTCTCACACATCGTCTTGTGTTGTAAAAACTCCATCAAGAAAAAATAATCACACAAGTATTTTCAGCTCCCTGCACAGCAGGACGCCACGCCTTAAAAGCCAGGACGAGCACGTATGTGTGTTTGTGACGTTCTGTCTGAATTGACCTGTTTATCAGAGTGTGTGCGTCTGTGCAGATAATCTGGTCATTAAGTAAAAAGCAAGACCAAAGTTATCTTCTCTCTCTTTGCGTCTTTTCATCTTTTATTCTTTCTCACGGACACAAATAATCTTCACCCCCCCCCCCTGCAGATGTGACAAGGACATTGACGAGTGCGACCAGGACGAGTGCGAGAACGGAGGCGAGTGCGTAAACACTTTTGGGTCGTTCTACTGTAACTGCTCCGAGGGGCAGTTTTGCGACGACCAGACGCTGGATGATGTGGGGGACGACACGCAGGTAAAGCATGACACTTGACGAAGTGAATGAATTTAAGTGAGAACAGAATATACTCAAGTACAATCAAACAAGAATAAAAAAAAGTCCCAGCTCTTTGGATTGCTTTTTGTGCTTTCAGCTTGCTCCTAATTAGACTTGGCATGCTCAGTGAAGCTGCAGAGAATGTTGAGTGTGCAGCGGCCTCCCGGAAGGTTTATTCACCAGTCTGGTATCTCTGTCTCCGGCGTAGATGAATGAAAGTGTGGTAATGGGTAAATCATGGTTTCCATTTGAAGTTGTCATGCTCTTGACTTTTGCGAGAGTGCTACTCACCTTATACTGAGACTGCAAGCTCAATGAATGCTGCACATTGTCAGACCACTGTGGAGGTTCTCAGTGGCTCAGGTTGTAGCTCTTGGTAGAATTTTGTCGTGGGTATTTGAAGACGGGTTTCCCCTTTCATCCGAGACGCCTCTCTCGGTTCCCTGTCGCCGGTGGGGAGACCCTGTTTAACACCTGTGGGGCCACGAGGGAATGTTTGTTACGTCTCCTGGGAGGTGATGAACAGACAGAATCATAGGTGGAGGATAAGCGGTGCCTTGGACCCCCCATGATCCTTCACTCCTCTCTCTAACGCAACAACAAATAGATACTTCAGTCACACAAATGTTTCACTCGATATCTCAGGAACACCTTGAACCTGCTATTCTTCCAGTGGAGAGTAATGAACTATCCAGTCTTGCATTTGGAGGAAATGCATTCATGTGTTTCTCTTCTCGTTGCCCAGGCAGAGCCGCTGTCTTACGTCGGACCAGGAGAGATAATTGGCATCGGGGTCCTAGTCTTCGTCATCATCCTCCTCCTCATACTCTTCATCGCTTTCAGGAAAAAAATCAAATTCCGTAAAGACTCAGACGTGGACCCAGGGACTCAATCTGTGATGGGCGTCTCGGCCATCTCCACAGAAACCAGCTACATGCTGCACAAGACTGGCATGGGGGCCGAAGGGATTGAGTTTAAAGCCGTGCGTTTGTCGGGGTCACCGGCGACCACGAGCGTCTACGGGGAGGTGGGCGGCAGCACGGGGGGCCCTCCTCAGGTCATGGTGCGTCCCAACGCCCACTCTCCACTGCCGGGGGGTCTCAGCAGCCAGGGCATGAGGAGCGGAGACGGTGACAGGACCAGTGAGGGGAGTCAGGTTTGTACATGTGCATGGGTCTGTTTTAATGATTTTAAAAATCACACTAAAATAATTCGGTGGAGTCGTATGTTATTAAAAATCGAATATTATATCATATTGTCTCACAAGCTCTGACAGAAAGAAATTAACGTTATGATTGCCAAGCAGACGGTGTATGATTTAATTCTGCTGCAGATCAGGGCAACATTAAGTTTTATTGCGATACCACAACAATAAAAATTCCAGGCTATATCAATTTTATATTATATCAATATGAATGTTTTGTCAGCATATCTTCCAGGTCCTTGATTTGATGATGATGCATTTCTGGAGTTCAGCTCTATTTATACAGTATATAAGCCGTGTTCATGCAAACAGCTGAGGTTTGCACGTAAGAATAGGTTCACTTTCATTTTTACTTCTCTGGCTGAACGTTTTCTGTCATTTAAAGCCACAATTTGAAAATGTCTGCATTTGTCGCGTTCCACAAATAAATAGTCAACCCCGCAAAGATTGTCCGACCACAGGACACTGAGAAACATAAGGTTCATTAACTTTAACGCAATCTCATGCTGCTTTCACAAATGGAATCCTTAAACTGTTATTACTAAAATATTATGCCGTGGATCATTTAGACGGAGTTCTCGGTGATCAGGCAACACAGACACTAATTATAACGTCACTGTCGGGATAGAAGCTTGCAAAGGCTAAGAATACAGCGAGCTGGCAGGCTGGTGACGTGACACAGGTCACAAAGGAATAATGACAGAGGGAAAAGATGAGATGAGACTTTAATTACAATATATTAAGTCACCATCAAATTAAAAATCATTTCTGAAAATGTTGGAAAACACGTCAGAACTCGTGGCTTTCAGAAGTTTCTGAGGTTTGAGGTTGTAAATACCATGAACACCAGAGAAGGGGGGGGGGGGTAAAGGCTGTATATTAAGATGGTCGACACGAAAGCTCCGCAAAAGTGAAGCCACATCCCCTTGATCGAAACACATTGTGGCTTTAACTGCACCTTTGAAAAAACATATTGTATAATTTTTCATGAACGTCTCCAGTGGAGACA